TTGTCGTTGACGTGCTTTTAGAGATGACACATTCCTCATCTAAATTTCCAGGGGTTGAACTTTTACCCGGAGGTTCACTTTTTGACTCAGAATATGCTGATGACATAGTTCTATTTGGTGAAGATGCTGACAAAATGCAGAGTCTTCTGATAACTCTAAGCAACAATGCAAGCATGTTCGGCATGCGATTCTCCCCCTCGAAATGCAAAATGTTGCTTCAGGATTGGGTTGCATCGACACCCAAACTAATGATAGAAAGTGAAGTAGTTGGGTATGTCGACCATTTGTAATTATGTCGTAATTTAGCTATTGGGTTTGAACTTTCCAATGACTTCACCATCAAGTGTAGTGATAACACAGCCAAAAATCTAGTTGTAGGGCGTGAGAACTGAAATACGGGATAAATATAGGGACTAGCTGATTACTTGGAACGATCGCTTCACTTATCTTGGAAGTCTCATCAGCTCTTGTGGTCTGGTGCGTGACGAAATCTCAGCACGGATACAAAAGGTTCGACTACCTCTTGCCAACTTGCGTCATTTATGACGTAGGCGAAATATCCTTCTATCAACCAAAGGATGGGTTTACTATGCAGCAGTATATTCCGTCCTACTATATGGCAGTGAAACATGGCCGGTAAGAGCAGGGGACATTCTTAGGTTACTAGTATTCGATCATAGATATCTTCGAAGCATTGCTCGTATATCCTGGGACCGTCGAGTAAGTAACGCAGATGTTAGGAAACAGGTACTAGGTAAGAATGGCAAATCAATTGATGGGGTAGCGAAACTCAATCAGTTGAGATGGCTGAGACATGTTTTACGTATGCCCAACGACCGACTGCCTCGACGTGCTATGTTCAGTGGTATAGGAGTAGGTTGGAAGAAAGCTAGGGGCGGCCAAACCAAAACATGGCACAAGTCCAAGAAGTCACTGACAAGTGGACTGAGTCATGTTGGTAGGTGCAGACTACCTGATTGAGGACCGCGAGATGATAGAGAGATGATAGATGATAGTGACCCTTAATTATATGGCTCAAAATCGTTTGCCATGGCGCAGGTACATCGACTTCCCAAGTTCTAATCTCCTGAATTCTTCTTGTCCCTCTCTTCTCTCTTTGGAAATTTATTTCACTGGATTATACTCCTCGAATAACATTTTGAAACCCTAATGTTTCCGATTACTGCTTATACTCTTATTACCTCTACCACTATAGGATTTGAATTAACAACTACAGCTCTGTGCTAATGTGGTATGGCAACTCGAACTGATGCGCGTACGTACGAAGTTCTACGTTGTTACTGATTGACTAACTGCAGTATAAGAAGGCGTTCTATAAAATCAAATAAAAAAGTAATAGACACCACTTGATGATCATTCGAAATAATAACTCGTCATTTGGCTTCTTCATTATGATACTAATAATTCCACGTAACATAAGGAAGCGTATTGCTCTCCTGAAACATTTTCGAAAGTACTCGGAATAAAAAAACATGCCATAATCAGATTGCTTGGGAGCTGTAGGCATGAAACTCATGAAGCATAGAAGGGTATGGGAAACTATGACTACGAAATATCAGTTAATCTGTCATCAAAAACGTAGAAACAGGCAGGTATATGCATCGGTCCAAGTTGCCACACGTCATCAACACAACAAGGTGAACACTGAATTCATAGATGTTACTTCAATGGTATATATATATATATATATATATATATATATATATATATAAGTAAAACTTGTGTATAAGAATACGATACAGGGAAAAAGCATTAGCTCCTAACCCAACTTGGCAAAAGCCAGACGACCTTTCAATATACGTGCAGAGATGTCGTCAGATATTAACCTGTTAGGGCTGATTAGACAACCAAGAAAAGTGAATTTTTCGACACATTCGAATACTCCACTACACATCCTTAGTTCAAGTGTTGACACAGGCCAGTCCTGAAGCAACAACTTGCATTTAGAGTTGGAGAAACGCATCCCAAACATCCTGGCATTGCCACTCAGTGCTACCGAAAGACTCTGCATTTTATCAGCGTCTTCACCAAACAGAACTATGTCATCTGCGCATTCTGAGTCGATAAGCGGACCTCCTGGTAGATCAATTACCCAAAATTCTGACAATGAGAACGTTATTCCCATCAGTAGGTCTATGGCGGAATTAAACAAAAATGGAGATAGTGGACAGCCTTCTCGTACACCGATTGAGGTCGAAAAACCAGATGACATTTCGACTAGTAGTGTTCGAGTAAAGAGCCTTCACAAAGTTTATGTACTTCTGCGGTACGCCTTTCAATGACAGACACTACCACAGAACCTCTCGGTCTACAGAGTCAAATGCTGCTTTTATGTCAAGAAAGACCACTATTGTCGGACGCCGATAAGCATGACTGTGTTTTAGAGCCTGACGAATGGTGAATATGTGGTCGATGCAGTCACGATAAGGTCTGAAGCCAGTCTGGTGTTCTCATATTTGCAGTTCACGAGTCTTAATCAGGCGCCCGATAATTATTGAGGCTAGTATTTTAGATGCTATGTTGGTCAAACTAACCCCTCCATGGTTATCACAGGATGATTTTGATACATTGGGACGATCAGTGATTGAGACCAGTCACATGGGACGACATTCAGTTCACAAATCTCAGCTAAAATATTAGCCAGCCTAATTGCTACAACTGGACCACCATCCTTAAAGACCTCTGGAGTCAATCCATCTGAACCAGCTGCTCTTTCTCGTTTCAGTTTAACTATGGCTTTCTGAACTTCAATTAGAGTCGGGGAAGGGGCCTATTTTCATACAACATTCAGGTCGCTTGGGAATGTTGGGTAGTTGTGGAGTAGCTGAAGGTCAGTTCGACTGCTCCTTAAAGTGTTCAGCTCATCGTTCCAAACGTTTAGATTGAGAGAAAATAAGAGTTCCGCCTTTCTCCGAAATGGTCTCACACTTCACTTCTTGTTAGTTTCTTTTATCAGTCTGTAAAGCTGTCTTGTGTTACCTACAACCTCTACGTTTTCCACCTCTTTCGCTTTCGTTGCTCATCACTGTTCACGATTGTTCCGTAGAATTTCAGTTAACCTTCACCTGATTTGTTTTCGCTGTTCATCAAGTTCGGAGCCTGATGGGCTAAGTCTACGAAAGTCTATCAACGCAATAGATGTTGCAGAAATCCATTGATTTTTCGTAACCCTTTAGTTCAAATCGCTAATAAATGTCACTGTTGTTTTCACAGATGTTCGTATACCTTCCAAAGCAACATCTGGGTCAGTTTCGTCTTCGAAAATGCTTAAGTGTGACTTCAGTTGTTCCTGTAATTTACTTTTGGCTTTCTCATCGCTAAGTTCAACTCTAATAGGTCTTCTTAATGTGGCTTTTCTAAGTCGAGTGAGGAGCAAGCAAACTTGTGCTCGTATTAGAGCATGATCTGAGTCCAAACAGGTATTCCAGAATGAGCGGCAGTTTCCTATGAAGACTCTCAAATGATGGCTGACGGTAATGTGGTCTATTAGAGCCCATCGTTTGTTTGGTGCAGGGGATCACCAAGTTAGACGGTGTTTCTCTTTATGTTTAAAATTAGTGCTTGCTAGAAATAAACGATTGTCTGAGCACAGTTGTAGCAGACGGTCACCATCACTTGTTCGCTAAACCAGAATACCAAACCAGCACATAGGCAACTGTTAACAGGAACTCATCCTAAAAGCGTTTGTTCTACCCTCATACTTAGTGCTGTTCATACACCCACCAGCCCGCGAGAACTAGCCATCGGGACGCCAGATGAACGGAGGATGTATCTCGTCGACATCAAGTGAATGACCACACCAGAATCCCGCACATGTTTCGGAGACAGCATACATCGACGGTACGAGGCTTTAGGGTCTTAATCAAGGAGGCCTGCTGGTTGACTTGACATACGTTGAAGGCTCCAATGTGTAGTTTGGAGCGAGGTTTCAGTAAATCTGGGACAGTGTTTCACGCACTAGAATTGTTGGCCATGGTGACACTTGAGGAGGAATTCGAAGAAAGAAGTTTGGAGTTCGTAGTCAAGGTGGGAGGAATAATAGGAACCGAAGAGGGAAGTTGATTATGAATCCAATGGTCCTAAGTGCTGTTAGAGGTATGATGGCAGTTATAACTTCCCGCTTGTCCACACCAAGAGGTCCTTCTAGAGGTACCTGAAAAGGAAATTGGGTTTAGAGCTGGTCTTAGTGACCCGAGAGCGTGACCGCAGTGCCCAAGTGGTAACCGCTTGAGGCCGATCACAACAGGAGATAGACTGAACTTCAACATCGTAGGTCAGTAGAAACAAACATTAATCACTGCAGTACACCTCATTTCCCCATCATCCTTTTCGTCAAGATAAGCATTGAGTGCTCGATCCACTTCCTACTGATGCGCCTAGAAAACATTATGGTAATATAACAAAGACCTGCAGCTCAATATGGTGCTTTATTCTCAGAACTAAATGGTTTAGTGGAAGCTTCGCAATCGAACCGAGAGAACATCACATCATAGTAATGTTGGAAAGAGCCCTGGTTCTGAGTTCGTACGTGGGACACAGATGAGAGTGTACCACCGACAACCGATTATGAATAAATCGATGTATCAGGGTTAGTCATAGTGCATTGAAAACTCAACATTAACAACATAAATTTTGACACGACTTAGAACACAAATGGTAAACTTCAATGATTACCACCGTTCCTTAATCGGGCTAAACAACTGCGACTGAATTCCTTACTAGTCTCAGTCAAAGCTAACTAATGAAACTGTTATCAGCCAAATGGAGAGAGACATTTAGCCATCAGTTTCTAAACACTAATTTCATCAAACAGCTCGTGCCCAAACTTTCCGCTCTACATTGACACCATTAACTTAAGGGTTATAGTACGAACCAATCTTAAGGAAACCTAAGACGACCTTTTGAGTAACAGGTGTGCCGCAACCATAGAGAGCATAAACTTGGGGATATGCAACCATACACATTTGGAAATCCAACTCTTAACCATCTAGAGAACATGAGTTTATGGCTGGAATGGAATCTAGAACACGTATATGAAAGCCAACACTGATTGGATCGGGAGGTAGTGATTTTAGGGCCAGTCTCGGCCGATATCCACTGTTCATTGTGGTAGTCGGATTTTCATCTCTCTGCATAGGCAAATATACATATATACTAAGATTCTTGTTGCCTAAAGTGCTACTGCAGCCCGAATCCACTTCAAAACTTGTAAAAACAAGAACATGTAACAGTTTTTGGGACTTTACTTTAGTGGAACCTAAGGACCCAACCGGACTTGTCAAAATGAGAGTTGCACACTAAAAACAAGATATAAATTAGGGCAAAAAGTTCAATTAGTTTGAGAGAGTATACTAAACCGTTTCTAACAGACTTATCATTGATGATGTACTTATGAGGATAGCTGAATGAATCATATGCCTAATCAATTATTTTGGTCTTTAGAATACAAATGTAGGTAGGTACAGCTATAAAATAATCAAGGTTACTTACTTCTAGGACAGAAATCGGAGATGAAGCACCGTTGGAAGAAAGCCTCATGAATAACTGTATTTGTATTAGTTACACCAAAAAATGTAGTGACATATCGACACCCTATGATGTATATAATAACTAGAAACTCATCTTTTTCGAACCATATTCTTCATGTTTAGTTCTAGTCATCGACACTAATACTACATGACTTCGACTTATTTGGTATTTTTGTTAAATTCAACTCGCTGTCCTGAAGTGACATGGCAACTTGGGCTAACACACATTTATTCTAGGCTGTATGTTAATTATGACAAACTATATAAAACATCTATAAATAGAGAAGATGCGGTTTCTAACATGAGCTGAAAAACATAACCTTCTGGTATATATTAAATAATCTATATTATATACAATTTACAATGAAATTAAAATAACACGTTCACTGTACAGTTGCCTTCGCAGTTGCCTGAGCTTTTATTTTATGCATACGGTGATATTTCTCAATATACAGCTTTACAAATGTGCTTATTTTTTCGGTATTGATTGAAGAAGTACCACTTCGCGAAATCTACAATGAACTAGTATACATTTACTGATACCTCTTACCTTAGTAACAGCCTTTTTCATGATTTCTTTGTAATCTTCTTTATTTATACGTCGTAGAGAGTATGCAGGTTTTAAAACTGATTTTACTTCCAAGGCGATACGTTCTTGCCACTCACGACGTGAAGAGAAGTCGTATCTTTTCCGCTTTGCTAGTACTTCCTCAATCTTCATGTCTCCAAAAGATTTCTTACTTTCCGTTTTAGTTTCTCCATATGCACCATTAGGCAACACTTTGTCACCGATTTCGTTGTTAGAAAACGGATTAATTACTGCTGGGAGTGGAGGAGGTACGAATGAATGTGACAGAGTAGAAGTGGTTGGCGGCAGCTCATTATGTTGTTGGAATGGTAACGGTGGTGGAGGAGGAGGTGGCAACGGATCAGAAGAGGAAGTGTCTACATCCGTTCTTTGGCTACCTGCAAGTTGGTTTAAAAGAGAACTTGCAGCTGAGCTTAACAATTTGTTGATTTGTTTCATGGGAGAGCTCTCACGAACAGAATCAGGTTTGTCATTTGGTTTATTATTTAGATTTAAATCGCTTAGTGTATTACAAGGTAGACCTGCCCTGCTCATTAAGGTTTCTAAGAGATTAGAAGCTGGAGCCTGCATCTGTTGCGCAAATGTAGGGGGTGGCGGTGGTGGGGGTGGAGGAGGTGGAGGCAGAGCAGTAGTTTGGAAACCAGGACCCGACATTACCATGGGCAAGCTCGGCACTGATTGCATGCACTGAGCGGGAAAATCTGAATCGTTCCCTGGTAAGCAGATCACTGAATTTATTATGTCTAGAATGCACCGAGCTAATGGTGTGCTCCGATGGTTTACGCGTGATTTTCGGGTTTCTTGATCTGCTATGAGCGATTGGACAGTGCAATGCATTGTTGTTGTGCGTTAGTTTCACAGAGAGTTGTATTTGAATCATGTGCACACCGTCCCGTTATTGTTCCTATTTCGGTACTAAGACTGCAAGTCCGAGCCCCTGAGTAGTGGGCTTTTTTGAAGCCATCTTTGGAATATGGAGTTCAGGCACTAAGTCCTTGTTTTGCATATGAAGCAGGTATGCTAAAATAAATTTAACGACGACGGACCAAAATGGAAAAAGTTCTCGTTACCCCATTTTATGAATGCATACTCAGACGCTTCAACATGTCCCTGTAACCCTATCTCGGTTTACGGAGTGACTTAGTGCTCTCTTACCATAAACTGGACGATGATTTTGGTAATAATCTGTCTTATCATTTCTTTCCATTCAGGAATGATTATATGAGAACTCATTTCAAAAGATTTCAGAAACCAAAATCAAATTGCCCAGACAACCCAAAAAGGGGAAATAAAGGGGAAAACGCGCCAGAATGTCGCCTTTTTCGCCTGTCCGGGGGAAATAATGCGGATTTTCCCCTTTTTCGACTTTTTGTCGACAAATTACCGACTTATCGCCTAAATATCCACTGAATTGTCGCATTTTCACCTAAATATTTGCTGAATCGTCACATTTTCACCTAAATATCAGCCGAATTGCCTACTTATGCGCTTAATTGTCTTTTTTTCGCCTAAATACACACATTACCTCCTGTTTTCTATCCATCGACAGAACCCCAAAGGTCTCCTATGTTCGCCTTTATTTTAAACAACAGACCTAAATATATCTGCAAAGCAGTGGAAAAGCGGTAAATTTTTTCAGAATTTTATTTAAAAAGAAAAGTGTTTTACTGTACAACAGTAGAGCACAAGCTTAAGCATCGATTATTATGCATATCCAATGCAATTGCTAATTCATTGTTATTTGAATTAATCTGAAAAACAAGGAACAGGTTATATTTTATTCATAACAAATGTGCATTTAATCAAAAGTTCACTGAAACTGAAACACACATTCTCAACACTTCAACAGTTTCCCACGTAAGTAAAAGAATAAGCTGTTTGAAAGAATGTTTATTGAAATCGAGGTAGAATATCAAAACAATTGCACGGACTATTGAGAATTGAGGTAGTCGTCCTGTGAATTCTGAATAAACAAAAAAAGAAAAAAAGTCATAACCGTATCTCAATGACATGCTTTGGCACAGCCAAATACTTGAAGCTGAACTTACGGTTATGTTCGTTAATATTGTTGACTGTAACTATAGAGCCGTAGGGAGGTTATCACTTTAAATTAGTACATACCTGGTCTTGTTTTCTTCTATTACGCTTCATCATCTTGTCTCGGATATCGTGAAAGTAACCTTGTGTCGCGATGTCAGAGAGCTTACCAAGGTCTTTTTCGTTGACAGAGGATGACAGAAAGCGATGAGTTAAGGCACCTGAAGTTTAAGTAAAAGATATAGGTTACTTCGTATGCAGCCGTAAAACGTGCATTTCTGAAGTGCTCGTTTGGAAGAGATGCCAAGTAACGTGAATTTACTGGCAACCTCAAGTGTCAACAGATACGACAGAACAAACCGCATCGACGTTTTCGGATCGTCACTTGATAACCTAGTGACGATTGCCATCTGCAATAGTAACAAATTATTAAATTCATGTTAATGACTTACAAATCTGTCCCTGGTTTCTTTCTGCGACAAACCAGTATCCAGCATCTGTAGTTCCTGTTCAGATGACAAAGGGAAATGCTGACTCGACAGTCCGCAATCGAATTGATTCGGTCTTTCGCGCTCATTAGACTTTGAAAGCAATTGCTTTACATTAACATTCAAGTCCATAATGGCGGACGATATATTGTTAATCGTTTTAGTCAGGTCATTGATAGCTGACGACATGTTCAGCACCACAGTATACAACCTATCACAGCTGAAAAAGGTCACTAGATGATGCAGGTTACTTACTGGTCCACTACAGCGCCACCAACATGCTTACATTCCGATGTGGATGGTGATGTCTGTAATTGTGTCGAACTAAATCGTGAATATCTAAATAGTAATTAAACGTACTTGGCGATTGGCGATATCAATTTGTCGAAAACACGGAATTTGGGATATTGTACGCGGCTATTCCCAGCCTGCATCTCAGCCACATCCATGTCGACTGAATTGTAAAAAAATCTTCTTTACGCTTCATTACACCTCTAGGAAATGTAAGTAAGATTATTGTACAGACCTCTTTGGCTTCTCAGTGTTAAGTGGCAAAGTGTTTTCATCCGTTGAGGTGTTTTTCCGTTGAGATTCCAGTATCTGTAGGGCAACTAACAGATCTTTTGCCGACTGCAGAGAATCTATAGTGAATTATACTTTCTGTGTTTGTAACCTACCTAATTCGTGAATCACTTTACATTTCATAAGTGACCAATTTTCATTCGGTTGGTCGCACTTCTGAAGGTGTATATCGACATGAAGTTATTTTACTGTCTAATTACTTGTTTAGTGGAGACATCATTAGCGCCTATTGGGGTAGTATTTGTTAAACCACTCATTTGAAGCCTATCGCTGAAGGACATTCTCTCAGCATAACGCTGTGCAGCTTGTTTAGCAACTGCAAACCCACTACGCACGGAATCCTTAATTTTTCTCATATAAGACTCGAATGGAAAGGCTGAAAAACTATCTAAAGGTTCATGTGCACGAACGTCGTCAGGGAGGTGCTGTAACGAATGCACATTGTAAACTAAGTTTTCACACCCATAACACTATTCGTATTCATTCAGGAAGTTTAGTAAATCTATTTTGGCGGTTTCTACAACACTTTTATATAATTGTGGGTGTGCAAGCAGATACATGGATAACGCTAAACGCCGAAAATTAAGATAAAAAGGTTGTGGCAATGTTTTTTCAAGAATCACCGGGCCTAAATACAGAAGGAACAACCTACATTCAGAAGCTTTCCATGCCGATACAAAGTCTAGTGTGCGGTATTTACGGGGAAAATCAGAAGGAGTACTTGCCACACAACGAGATATTAAATTATTTATGTCCCGAATTGCACATGAGTCAAAGTTCCGCAGTCTTCGGCGTGCTAAATCTATCCATAAATTAGCTAGTTTCTTGGTAACACCAAGGTACACAATGTGCATTGGATCTAGAGGAAAAGTTGAAATCATATTAATAGAAAGCGTTTCCATTATAGAATGTCCTTGATGGTGAATAGATTGAGTCTGACGACGGAAGGTGTCGTCTGTTCTTAAAGTATATACCCCATTTGGAAAGGTCGTCTTACACTCCAGCCGTCTTCCAAGAACAGTACACCTATCGCAACCTGCCTTACCGTTATGATTCACCGTGTACCTAACAGAAGAACGAGCAGGTGCGTCACATATAACAGCCGCCAACCAAATAGATATGCATTTATTAAACTTGACACTAAAAAGACCAACGTCAGTCATTTCTTTTATTTCAGAAATTGTGTCCGCAGAAAATTCGTTGAATTCTGCCGGTTTACTATTCCCACCGTAGATCCCTATCATGAACACGTCACTAAACCTAGGGGCAATGATCCGTCCTAGTATAGGCTGTAACTGTTGATTGGAGCTTCTAGACATAGAAAGTCCATCTATATTGACGTATAAATTTAAAGAGTCAAAATCAGTTGTACACAACCAAAGCTCAACGTATCTTAGCAGATTGGTTTTCAATCCTAGATGGTAGTAAACCCCACTGCCGATTAACTTTGGTTGAACACTTGGACACGTCTTTAGGACACCTCTGATGCTTTTCGGTATGTCCGGGATACGAAATCGCAGACCATACAGAACCCGATCAGCATCTCTTATGCTCAGAGATGTAGTTGACATTATGTACATAATAAAGTTGTTCATCAGTTCTTTGCGATTCACGAATTTTTGAGAGCACAAGTTCACTTCAGTATATCCTATAAGATATATATTCACGTACGAATTTAATGTTCATACCACTATTATGTGAAAGCCTTTGATTGATGTTGCTAGTGGACGGTGTACTAGTCGAAGAACTTTCATTACAACTGACTTCTCTCTTTACTTCTATCAATTAAGTAAACAACATTGTTAAACTCAGTTACCTTTTAGGGTGATTTCATTAGCGAACTCACTGAACGAAAGAAAGTGATATTTTTCATGAAAGCAGCTTTCATTTTATTCCACCTTCTGTTATAAGTGGATCTATGACAGCCAAGGGAACGTGACAAGTTCACAGTGGCCCTACGTCTACGAACATTCTTACTGACTTCAAAATAACTCATAGTATTGGCCTTACAAGGTAATCAGTTACAATGATCATGAAAATCTGAGAGCACGTCACTCACCTGCATCACGTAAGTTTTTTGTGATGGCTCCAAAGCATGTCGGAGAACTTTAGCTAATCAACAAACGAAGTCACTCTATATGCGTATCAACCGAATGCCTGGTTCCGTATTTTGTACATTGTTTCTATGACAATACTTTTGTTTTTTTATTAAGCAGTGCCTAAATTTGTCGAAGTTTATGAAAACTTCAGTTCCTGATGCGGTTCATTCAAACACTGCACGTTACGTAGAACTGTCGACAAATTTCCCCCAAATACGCGACGTAAGGGGGAAAAAGCGACATTTCCCCTAAATAACAGACGTAAAGGCGAAAAAGCGACATTTCCCCTTTATTTCCCCTTTCTTCCCCTTTATTTCCCTTTTTGTGTTGCTTGGGTGCATACATCTTTTGATACACCCGAAAAGGTACTGGATCTTCACATTACCACAACTTTACTAATGTAGGTCAATTGATATCCGATCCCTACTACTAGACACTGGTTTCCTTA